CGGCGGTGTTTTTCGCATGTTTTTGACATCCAGCCTCGGAACTGCCAGTTGGAACACCGGCGCATGGGTCTGAGGCTCCCTATTCCCTGTCCCGGGGAGGAGGGGGATGCTCAGACAGTGGCGCGGCAACGTGATGACGTCATGCTCGTTTGCTTGTTTTCATTTGGGGAGCTCTGTCCAATCGTTCAGCTTTCGGTAGCCATATTTCCACGAGAATAAGTGTTTGTTTTGGGGCACCCACCTTTCTGGGTACCAGAGCCTGTCAATGGCAGACACAGAATGCTCCCAAACAAACGGGGGTTTCTGTAGGCCATTGCTCCTCGTGCCTCATCTGTGGGGGGGCCAGGTTCTGGCTCGTGGTCCCCAATAGGCTGAACTCTATGCACTTTTGACTGATGCCAGGAAGGTAATAAAATACTTATCAGCCTGGATAGCTCCAGGAGGTTTCTGGGACTCACCCAGTAAGTAGTGTTTCATTACATTCAACGCTGGTTTCTTATTTCGTGTACCTGGGCATGTTGCAGGCCGTAATCACAAGAGCATCCCAGGCGATTAAAGAATGCAAAGAGGAACTTTGAGAACCATTGTCTACCATATTTAATAATTTATTAGAGTTAGGTAGAGTGCCAGAGGTGTGGAAGATTGCTAATGTGGTCAAATTTTAAAGAAAGATAAAGTACTTGTGTCAAACTAGCGGCCAAATAGCTTGCCATCTATTGTGGGAAAGTTGCTTGAATCAATAATTGCAAATATCATTCATCTTCATCTTGAAAAACATAGATTAATAAATGATTCACAACATAGTTTTACTAAGGGCCATTCATGTTTAACAAATTTGCTATCATATTATTCCAGCAGACTTTGGCAGTTGATAGTGGTACAGTTTGTGATGTTGTGTTCCTTGACATTAGTAAAGCTTTTGATACAGTGCCCGATGAAAGATTGATTAAAAAGATAGAGGCTCACTGTATTGGGAGCTCTCTATTAAGTTAGATTAGGGCATGGTTGTACCAAAGGAAATAAAGGGTTAATATAAATTGAGTTAATATATGGTTTAACAGCTGCTACTAGTGGTCAGTTTGCCTGCTGACAGACAGAGTTCTTCCAGCTTAGCTAGCCCCAATGCTTCGGCTTCCCGTAGGGATTACTCACCCTAAGGGGCCCTGGAAAATCCCAGTAGGCTTGGGGTTAGCATGGATGGAGTCGGAATAGGCCTGTGGTGCCAGCAACCGAGTTAGAGGTGTCGCCTCTGTTGTCTTCGTGTGGTTGGTGTGGTGTTTGCTCTGCGTGTATGATGGGCTCTCTGGGTTTACATTGGCCCTTTCGCGGGTCATCCCTCTGACAGGGCGATGGGGGGCACGCTGGCTCTTTTCACCCACGCCTGATCCCACGATTTGTGGGCTTTTCGGGTTGTTTCTTGTGGCTTCGGTGGCATTGGGCGGTTCACCTTCTATTTGGGGTCGGCCTCTTCTCTGTTTATCCATTGGGTCATCTCGGAGTGGGTTCGCTTGGGCGTGGTCAGAATTACTTTGTCTCTTTGGTGGGTGTCCCACTTGTTTTCGTTGCCGATACGGGACTATGTGGATCTCCGGTACTTTCTGGACTGGTCTCGTCTGAACCGGTTGATTCCTTGCCCATCCTTTTGGATGACTATGTTGTCACAGGTCTGGCTCGTCCTCGAGCCAGGCTAGTGGATGATTTCCCTGGACCTTTAGGACGCGTAATGGCATGACCCTGTTCATACGGGGATCAGGGGCAGGTTGGTTTTCATGGTGGGGTGACAGGCTTACTGCTTTTGTTGTCTTCCTTGTGAGCTACATCTGGCACCTTGTGTTTTTACACGCTTGACTTGGATCGTGGTGGCCTGTCTTTGTCTGCTAGGTCCTCAGGTCTTGGCATACCTCGATGACTGGTTGGTGATGGCTTTCAGCCAGTCTGCTTGTCTGCTAGCCAGGGATCTGGCTCTTTCCCAGCTCACCGGGTTTGGGTTCCTGGTAAACTGGCAGAAGTTCCAGCTGGTTTAGTCTCAGGTTTGGACTTGGATGGGGCTTGTATGGGATTCTCAGACTGCCTCCCTTTCTCTCCCTCCTGAAGCCTTGCTCCAACTATGGTCTCGCCATTGGCTATTATTGAGGGGGGGAGACCCGGGTTACTCGGCGGTTACTTGAACAGCTGTGCCGGAGCCTGAATTTGGCTCTTCTGGTTTACCCGCTAGGCAGGGTTTGGTTCCTGAGGCTATTTCAGCATCTTCGGGGCAGCCCTTTTCGCGGATCTCATGATTCATCCCCCTGGGTTCATCCCTAGGGTCTTTGTGCCTGTTGCTGCTAGTTGTGCCTGTTGCTGCTAGTTGTGCCTGTTGGTGCCAACTTCCTCAAGTTTTCTGGGTTCAGTGCCATTGTGTCTTTTTCTTTTGCTTATTGTTTACACTGACTCCTCGTCAGTGGTTGTTGACTCCTCTGTCGGTTGGGGCTTTGTGACTAGTGCTCACAAGTTCAGCCAGGGGCGCTGGCAGCCATCTTATGTGTCGGGCCCACAGCATGGTGTGGGACTTTGCAGCGGACTTAGATTCCTCAGGGCACCATGATCCGGCTCCATTTCGGACTGTTCCTCTGTGGTTCATTGTCTCCAGCAAGGGGAGGGGGGGGTCTGTTTGGTCTGTGGCCTGTTTGGAGTTTGTTGCTTTTGATAACTGTTCTGCTGAGTTCTCAGGGTTTAGCTCTCCGTGTCATTCACATTTAGGGCTGTGTCCAGTGTCCTGGCAGACAGTCTGTCTCGCTTTTGGTGATTATGGGAATTAGCATGCAGGAGTTCATACAATTGAGGAAGCTAGCAACTTGAGATTTATCAGGTTGGCAGAGATCAGTAAAAAATTTACACCACAACTACACACCAGCTGGTTGTCGTGTAAATCTTGCCTACAAGCTAGTTGTCGTGTAAATCTTGCCTACAAGCTAGTTGTCGTGTAAATCTTGCCTACAAGCTAGTTGTTGTGTAAATCTTGCCTACATGCTGGTTGTTGTAAATCATGCACACAGCTGGTTGTTGTAAATCTTGCACACAGTTGGTTGTTATGTAAACCTTACACTCAAACTAGTTGTCTGTACATCAAGTACACTGTGCAGGAGTTAAGGTAATGGTTTATGTATGTGCTTGCCCCTTCCAGTTTCCAGCCATATCCATCTGTTCTTAACCTAACAGACCAAGTGACGAGTTGATGAAATTTGTTTCTAAGGTTTTGGGTGTAGTTTTATTTTGGTAATATTTTTATCATTTGGCCCACCATTTTTCTTCTACATATTACCTGGGAGATGAGGTTAGAAGTACAGTACCTCTATAAATAGATACACCCAGAAAAATGGATTTAACCACCGTGCTGCGCCGAGTTTATTGAGAAATTCCCACGGTGCGCATGAAATAAAGTGTTCCCAAAAAATTCTTTTTTCTTCGTAAAAGGATAAATTGCCTTCCCTGAACAAGTCTATGTAAAAATAAATACCAGATTCCACTTACTTTGGAATGTGGACACTTACTTTGTCGGGATGTGGACAAGGTGCGCTGTGACGTCATCAGAGCCTGGTCGCCCGTGCGTGAATCGCCCAGACACGGTCGCGCGGGCCATTCAAGCACCGGGTGTTGCCACAAATATATTTTCAATTATTTGTTTTATGTATTTTCAATGCGATTTTATTTGTTTTTTTATTGTATATAATGCATATTTGTGTCCTTTACAATATGTATACAGTAGAACGTTCATAATGTTCCCTGGAACTGTGATACATAAGTCAGTAATGTGTCCACAATAAATTTTATTGTTGCAATATTACCTGTTAAAAATTCACCAAAATTACAATATGTACAGTTTCACACACTATTTACACAGTAACACACTGTATTACACACTCAGTACTTTGGAAGTGAGTAATAATCAACGCAGTAGTCCAGGGTACACAGCGCGACTTCGCTCTCAGTGCACCAGGTACAGATAAATTTTCGCGTCCTGTTTCTGCATTCTGTGTGCTTGCAAATAACACACTCACGTGCACCCTTGGCTTTAGTACTTGTAGGTTGTATGTAGCCAAGCTTGTAAAGCATAAGGTAGTATTGAAAAGATTATAGGAAAAGATCAATTTGTAAGGTAAAGGTCTTGAAAAGATCACTTTCAGTGGTCCCACACAGGAAGAGATTCAGCTTACCTCAAGAGTGTAATTACCTAAGTGTAGTTACAGGATGAGAGCTACGCTCTCCGTCAGTCAGAAAGAGATTCAGCTAGCCTCAAAGAGTGTCCGTCAGTTAGGAAGAGATTCAGGTATTCTTGAAAATATCTATTAGAAAGCACCACTATGGAAGCCGCTAACACTGTTCATCTATGCTACTTGTATCATAGCATAGGATTGCAAGGGTGACGCTCAGAGCTACAACTGGATATGCTCGCTGTAACGTCCTCATAGGTGCTGTATCACTTGTATCCAACCTTTGTGTTAGGTCCTTATTGCGCATAGCTTCACCAATATTATGACCCTTATGTTTTTCAAACAATACGGTTTGAATTTCACCGACAGAGCGTTTTCTTTCAACACCGCGTCAGACAGGTGTTTGGGAGCCAGAGGCGCGTGCGCCACCCATGTTTGCTCATTCAATACTAACCCAGCCAGCAGCCCTAGGGCATTCTGGGAATGTTTTCCAAGATGGCTGCCTCTGACTGGAGGTCCTAAGAGTCCATTTCGTACACAACCAACCTCTTGCACATTTAGAATTGGTACCGAAAAATCAAAAATAGTTTTCTCGGTTGGCGCAGTTTCCCGCCGACCGAGAATACTCGGTTGGCGCAGTTAAGTGGTTAAAGCGCCTTTAGTACTTGAAGTGATTTGTCTTTAGTATTTACCTTGTCATATTATCATCTACCACATTGAAATTATGTATTTACAATGGATTTAAAATGGATTTAAAATAGTAAGAGCATATATTGTTAATTAACTACATCAGTTAACTTGCTTTTCCAGAGTCGAGTTGTGGAAACTCAGGCTAGAGTGGGAGACTTGTTGGACCTTGAAGGATGTAGTGGTGGTGTTGCAACAGCACTTGCTCAAGAAGGTAAATATTATTAATTGCATAGTATTTTTTATTTTCTGGGGTGAGCCCCTTCGGCTCCCAGGAACTTTTCCAGGCTGATATCGAACTACTGTATTAGACTTTGGCATCAGTCAGTGTGAATGGTGTTCTTGCGTACCGAGGACCACGAGCCAGAACCTGGCCCCCCTCAGAGGCACGAGGAGCAATGGCTTATAGAAATGTACATGTGATTTGGAGCATTCTATGTCGGCCATCGACTGGGGTAGATACATAATAGCGGGAGAGATACATAATAATTTACAAGTGGAAAATAATTGAGGGGCTGGTCCCAAACCTGCACACAGAAATAACACCACATGAGACCAGAAGACATGGCAGGATGTGCAGAATACCCCCGTTGAAAAGCAGAGGTGCAACAGGTACTCTGAGAGAGAACTCTATCAACATCAGAGGCCCGAGACTGTTCAACACGCTTCCACTACACATAAGGGGCATAACTGGGAAACCCCTCACAGTGTTCAAGAGAGAACTGGATAAGCACCTCCAAAGGATACCTGATCAACCAGGCTGTGACTCATACGTCAGGCTGCAAGCAGCCGCGTCTAACAGCCTGGTTGATCAGTCCAGCAACCAGGAGGCCTGGTCGACGACCGGGCCGCGGGGACACTAAGCCCCGGAAGCACCTCAAGGTAGCCTCAAGATATGGGTCAGACACCAAGAAAGGTAAACATCCCAAAGCAAACCCCTATTCTGGTTGAAACTACTGCTAAAAGTGAAATGAGTGGACAGAACTCCCCAAAGAAAAACAAGTAAACAAGCATGACATCACCACGTTGCTACACCATCGTCTGCACAGCTTCCCCCTTCCCGGGAGAGGGAAGGGGGTGCCCCAAACCCCTCGTGCCGGCAACCCACACCTCCAGTTCTCGGCTAATATGATTAAGGCTTGGTCCTGTGATTCCAGCTCCTGATTTTTGTCTCAGTGCTGGGCCTCATGTTTAGTGCTATCTTCAGGGTGGTGCATGAGCTGGGAGTAATCTTCACTGGTACTCGGGCTGCATGCGCTTTAGGGTTCCCTTCCTTAAGTGCCTTGTAAGTACCGCCCTAGGGCCTTGGGGTTACCTTCCACAAGTCACCTTTGGGTCTACCTCTGTTGGTCTTTTGCTGCTCAGTAATTGACCGCCCTGAGTGTGCTGGGGAGGTTTCTTCCCTCCCTTGTTTCCCTTAGGGTAAGGGGTAGTTTGCACTGGTAGGCTGCACAGCTAGTTATAACCCATTATAGTGACTGGTTCTCTTCTGCCTACGTACGTTGTCCTCTTGCTAGGTTTTTTTTTTTTTTCCTGCCTGATGGGGGGTTTGCCTTTTGGTTCATTGCTCCCTGTCTCTGACTTAGATTTTGTATATCTATGTTTCTGTATAGTACCCCCCGTTAGGCCCCCGTGAGTGGACACGTCCCGGGGATTCAGCTTTTAGCAATTTTGATTGGTAGATTTGGGTGCCGGTTCACAGTACTCTGCCTGGGCTTACCCTTAGCGATACAGTCTAAGGGCCCTGGGAAACCCCGCTGGGGTGCAAGGGGTCCGATGGATGCGACCCGTAGGTTCCCTCTCCTCTTGTGCGAGTTAGAGGGTTGCTCTGTCCTCTTGTCTCAGGGTGACTCTCACTGTATTTGCTTATGTCATGCTACCTGTTGGGTGGGGTGACACCTTCGACCCAGAGTCCTGCGAGAATTGTTGCTTGTGACTCAATTCACCCAGTCCACTGCTGACTTTATATGGGTGCGGGCAACTCAGGCGTTGCATGCTAGATTTAGGTTGCTGCAATGCACTAGGCTGATTGCTACCCTGGAAGCCCCCAGGCTGCCCCGTGTCAGTCGCTTCGACCTTGGTTTAGTCCGCACCTCGTTCTTTCCCTGCTGTGGTTCATTCTGGTCCCCCCCCCCCTCTGCTTGCGGCTCTTAAGTGTCTGAAGGCTTCTGGGTCAGGGCAGGGGTTTAAAAGGTTCTGAGACTCAGGCAGTTTCAAAGGTTGCCCCTTCCTGGGGAAGGGGGGGGGGGGAGCCATGGTGACAGGGGCTGACCAGTGGGCCCCCTTCCTTCCTTCCTTTCCGGCTGCTCTGGCTTTTTCTTGTGAAGCCAAGGCTTTGGAGGACGACTCGGCCCCGGATTCTGGCATGGAGGTTCCTGGGGTTGGGGAGGGACTGACTTGGGGGCCTTGGGCCCCATTGGACCCCGCCTGGATTTTCCTCCCCTCTGAGCGAGGCTTACTGTTACAAGGAGTAGTGTTTTCTTCCCCCTCCCCCCTCTGCGTACGAGTTGAATTTGAAGTCGGCTCCTCTCCAGGTTCGGTTCCATGTCCCTTTGGGTCTGTCGGTTCCGTCCTTCCGGAGGTTTTTGGCTTCCCGCGTCTCACCGACTGAGGTGCAGGTGGCCATTGCGGCTTACCTCCTGCGCGACCCTGATTATGCCTCTATAATGGATCCGTCTTCGTTCAGGTTTGGATCTTCGTCCCCATATTGGGTTGATTATGAGGTTCCGGAGTCGTCCTGGCTAGCGGACTGCCCTGTGTAGTTTTTTTACGCTTGGAGTACTTTCTGTTGAACCCACACACTTGAGTGGTGCGAGTCATTGATGGTGGTCCAGGTTTACCTGGGGGCAAATTCAAGCACCTGAATGCGTGTTTGTTTGCCCCTGCCCTTCAGCGGGATGTTTGCGTGGTTCAGCTTCACGTGCAGGTTCCCTCCCTTTTGGCTGTGCTGGTTACTGAGGACTTACACTCTCGTGACCTGCTGGCATTGGTCTTGCGGTTCTTTTCCCTCCTGGAGCTGTCTTCGGATTGGCTTAGAGAGGATGTGGAAGTGATTGGGGGCATTCCTGAATCTGGTTCCTTGATCTCGGTGGCGCGTGCATCGTCTGCACTGCTGGGGCTGTTTGCGCCGGTCCTTCGGGATGCGGTGTCATGGTTTTTCGCTTCGTGTCAGCAAGTGGTGCTTGCTTCCTCATTGGAACCTGCCTGAGCCTTGGCTTTTAGGTTTTCATCTCCATTTTGTCTCCTTGCTGTTTGCAGCATCTGCAGTTGGGCAGTTTCTGCAAGCAGCTTCTTGTAGTTGTCTTCCGTTGTCAGACTTGCTGGTCCTTCGGGGGTCCCTGGAAGGGTCGTGCCTGGGTTCGGGTTCCTTTCGTTGGGGGTAGGCTTCTGGTGTCTGTTTCTGAGTTGGTGCCGCCTTCGGACCCGTCTTCGTCTGGTCGGCGCTGTGATTGCTCTGTGCGTAAGTCGGGTTCTCGTAAGGGGCGTCGGCCCTTTCGCAGTTTGCCCCACTGACGGGGTGATGGAAGGGAGGCTCGCTCTGTTCACTCACACCTGCTTTCATGATTCTTGAGCTTTTCGGGTCGTTTCTGACGGCCTGCTGTGGCGTTGGGTGGCCCCTTCTGTGCTCTGTTGGGTCATCTCTAAGTATGTATGCTTGGGTTTGGTCGAAACAACAAAGGCCCTCAGGTGTGTTTCCCATCTGTTCCCAGTCCCAGAACGGGACTGTGCGGACCTGTGGTTCATTCTGGACTTTTCCCGTCTGAACCCTTGGGTCTTTTGCCCCTCTTTTCCGATGACTACTCTGTCCAAGATACAGTTTCTGTTGGAGCCGGGCACTTGGATGGTGCCTTTGGACCTCTGGGATGCGTATTGGAACGTTCCGATTCATTCAGGGTGCAGAGATTGGCTCAGGTTGTTGTGGGGTGTGTTGGTTACTGCTTTCGTTGCCTCCCATTTGGGTTGAACCTGGTACCTTGCATGTTGACACACCTTACCCGGGTCGTGCTGGCCCGTCTGCATCTCTTAGGTCTTCAGGTGCTGGCCTATCTCAACGATGGGCTGGTCTGGGCTCCCAGCCAGTCCACATGTCTGCTCGCCAGGAATTTGGTTCTTTCCTGGCTCGCCGGGTTCGGGTTCCTGGTGAACTGGTGGAAGTCCCATCTAGTTCCCCCTCAGGTTGGAACTTGGTTGGGTCTTGTAAATACCTAAGTGTAGTTACAGGATGAGAGCTACGCTCTTCCCAGTACTCTTTGTCATATAACGTTTTGAAACTACTGATGGTTTGGCCTCCACCACCTTCTGACCTAACTTATTCCAACCGTCTACGACTCTATTTGCAAAAGTGAATTTTTTTATTTCTTCGGCATCTGTGTTTAGTTTAAATCTATGACCTCTTGTTCTTGAAGTTCCAGGTGTCAGGAAATCTTCCCTACAATTTTATCAATTTCTGTTACTATTTTGTATGTAGTGATTATATCACTTCTTTTCTGGGGGGAGCCCCGTCGACTCCCCGGAGCTATCCCAGGCTGATATGCTAATGTCAGACTTTGGCATCAGTCATGTGTATGGAGTTCTTAGGCCTACCGGGGACCACGGCCAGAACCGGGCCCCCTCAGAGAGGCAAGGGGAGCAATGGCCTATAGAAGCCCCCGTGTAGTTGGAAGCATTCTATGTCTGCCATCGACCGGAACAGGCACCCAGAAAGGTAAGCGCCCCAAAACAAACCCCTATTCTGGTTAAAATTGCTACCTAATACCGAACTAGTGGATAGAACTCCCCAACCGAAAACAAGCAAATTAGTGTGACGTCACACACTGCCGCGCCGCTGTCTGCGCAGCTCCCCCCTCCCCGGGAGGGGGAAGGGGGAGCCCCAGACCCCCCGCGCCGCCTACCCACACCTCAGTTCTTGAGGCTGATGCTATAGGCGATGGTCGTGTGCTCTGGCTCCGGTGTCGCTACTGCACTGTGCTTTGAGTGTGGTGTTAGTTTTGTGGGTGCGAGAGCCAGGAGTTATCTTCAGTACTCGGGCTGCATGCGCCTAGGGCTGCCTTCCCTAGGTGCCCTGTAAGTACTGCCCTTGGGGCTTGGGGCTGCCTTCCACAGGCTCCTCGGGGTCTGCCTCTGCTGGTCCGTTTTACCTTTCGGTTTTTCGGCCGCCTGTTGGGGTCTTGGGTGTTCTGTTCTCCCTTGTTACCGGCAGGTAAGAGGCAGTTT